CCCCTCGAAGCCTATAGGTCTGCTCACAGTCTAGTACTTCTGCGGGACTTGGTGTCCTTGACAAGTAAGTATCATAGCCTGACAGTCCTAGGGACCCCCAAGCCAACCCAAAGTCGCCAAACCAAAAAAGCAGAGGTCTTCTTGAAGCTAGGAAAGTCTCCTACCAAGCTTGGGTTATGAAGGCCAGAATTCTGGAGGAGCAGAGTCTTGGATCTCTTTGGCATAGAACAGGGACATGCAGGATGCATTGGAATAGAACAGGGACATGTAGGATGCATCTGCCTTTTAAGAAAGCATGGTGATACACATCCCCTTCAAGGACAGTTGGCAGAGGGTGGCGGTGGCCTTGCCCAAATGGCAAATAATGAATCTCTAAGGTAGGTCTTTGGGAGCACGCAGGTCGCCAGAGAATGACCAGCATTCAGATCGTGCCTGCTGTCTTTGCATCAGGGAGACTGTAGGTGCTAACTCTTCATCTGACAGGAATTCTGACAGCAACCCCAAGGCATTTGGCAATTTTGTGTTTCAGGAAGGGGACTAGCAAAGATTAGGAATGGCAGCAAGTTCAGGCAGAAAAAGCAGGCCCACCTAAGGAAACAGGAAAATAACTCCCATTTGAGGGGCAGCCCTCGCTCACGGAGGCCTTTGCAAACACTGTGCTTCACCCATCAATGTACTGAGGAGAGGAAGCAAGGCAGGGGTGTGGAATCCTTTACCATGGCATCAGCCTCCTGAAAGCACACCTATGGTAGCCCGAGAAAGGCCACCCCAAACCTCCAGAGAAAACCTTAGTGAGCCAGCATCAGCCCTCAAGGGCAAGAACCGTGGGTGTCCATGAGGGGCAAGTGCAGCTACCAACACCTACCTCCTCGAAGCCTCAGCCCAGGGGCCTCAGCAGCTTTAAGATGGGACTTGTCTCTCACCTCACAGACCAGAAACAGGACATCTGCTCTACCTTTAAGTCTTTCTCGTGTTTTCTCATGCGACACACAGTTCCCAAATCTGTTTTGTTTTGTTTTGTTTAAAAAAAAAAAAAAAGCAAAAAGACCATGTTGGGCTACTTCTCATCTGGAAGTAAGGCTGCAGGGTGGACCTGAGTCAGAAATGTCTCTTCACGATTCCTGGTCCTGGCGCTTCTGGATTTTACACACACACACACACACACACACACACACACAAAAGCTCTGGTTTCTCCTCAACCCCAAGCATCATGCATGCCTTCCTACAAGTAAGTCTCTACTGAACATATGGATTTTTTACGGATTTTTTTTAAATGCAGAGGCCACCTCTTTCTTTGACCTCCACACAAATGCAGCAGCCCACAGGTCCCTACCACCACCACACAAACAACTCCTACATGTACACATCTAATTATCTGCACCAAGTTGTATCATACATGTATCAATGTATGTACACACATGTATCAGTGTGTGTACATATATCAGTTTTACTCCTAATTTCTCCAGGTTCTAAGATGTTCTGTTAAAAGTATTTTGGGGGTTGGGGCATAGTTGATATGTGTGCCCATGTACTAAATTTACAAAGAACAAAATAAACTACAACAAAAAACACAATCTTTCCTCCCTCAGCCATCATTTCCTGCCCTGGCGCAATCGGGATCAGTTTCTTTGGTATCAAATCATCTTTAAAAATCATAAATCACACTACTCTCCAATGGCTTCCCGTGGGGCTGACAATAAAATGCAGCCTATGCCACCCTAGCCCCGACAGTCACTCTATCAGGTGCCACAGGCTCTGACCCTCCTGATCTTACAGGCTCTTTTCCAACCACAAAGCTGCATACTTGATTCTAACCTGGGAGTAGGAGAGCATCTGCTGGTGCCTCAGCCTGGAATGCTCCCCTTCCCAGCTGTGTACAGCTGGATCCTTCTGTCTTCAGGCCTATCCTGAGTTCTTCCCAGGGCAGTCTTAACCAGCCTCCTAACACTCCCATTGCCCTAGGCTCTACTTCCCCACGGGGTATCTCTTCTCACGAACTGGTACTGTCTTTCCCAGACTCCCATTAGAAAGCAAGCTCTCTACAGGTAGACAACCCGAGTTCACCTACTACCACACGCCTAGCACTGGCCGGGCAGCTAATCGGCATACTCCATCCAACTTAAGGAAGGAAGCAGATGTTTTCTCTGCTGATTTTCATCTGCCAACTGCCTACTTGCAGGATCTTCCCAACACCAAGTTTTCCCACATTGGCCACCCTCTCCCGCATGCCTGGTAAAGGTCAGAAGGTCAGGGAAGGAAGAAAGGGGTGCCTCTGGATCGCCCCTTCCTTGCTACGTATGCAGCAATAAAGACAAGCGCCTGTACCTGCCCTACATTCCCAGAAACCGCTCCAACTGCCACTGTCAAGGTGAAGGTGACAGCTCTGCCTCTCCCTTATCAGATGCAGAATGCTCTGGCTGCCAGGCTAGCTACAGTAGGTTCTCAAGTGAGCCCCAGCAACAGGAAACAGATACTACCTGGGGAATGGAACCCTCTAGGGCAGGCAGTCTGCCCGTCCCACCTGACTTCCCCTGAGCCCCAGACACCTGGGATCCTCTTAGCGGAAATCCATCCAGTCCCCAGACACAAATGCACATCCAATCCTGAGTCTGCAGCACAGACCAGGGTGTCAAGAGAATATCCTTTAGAAGACATTTCTTTCCTGGGGCTGTTTCCAGAGAGAATGCTACATGGTGCTAAGATTAACTTTTAAGAGGAAAGGAGGGAGCCTTGCACAAAAATTGTGGAGGAAAGGGAAGGGAAGAAGGAAGAAAAAAATACTCAAGAAGGTGGAAGCAGATGTGTAACAAGAAGTTTGGTTAGGATCAAAATCCAGAAAAGGACAGTAAGGTCATTTCCTCCACATAAGTGATAATTACTAATATTGATCAAATGGACACAATCTCAAAGAGTTCTTCTGGGCTCTGTACAAGGTCATTTAAATTATAATGGCCCAGGTTGGAGATGCTGCTCTGCCGGTAGTCACTTCCCCAGCATGAACTAGGCCCTGGGCTCAATAATACTGTTATTACAATAATGATAACAGCTAGATGGGCATGTTGTGCATACCTTTAATCCCAGCACTCTAGAGACAGAGGCAGGAGAATCTGAGTTCAAGGCCAGCCTGGTCTACAAAACAAGTACCAGAGCAGCCAGAGCTACACATAGACCCTGTATCGAAAAACAAACTAATAATAACAACAATAATAAGTGTAAATACGATTAGTAAGTAATAATAAACAACAAATTTCCCAAATGCTCACACTAAATACAGTACCTAGGATTTCCTGCACGTTGAGCTAGAGCTCCTCCTTCCACCAAGTTACATTCCCACACCAACAGTTAACAATTGCAGAGCACTTACTGTGTGCCCCACGGCGTTGAGATTGCATTCAGACTTTTCATCCTTAAAACCACCCCCACGGAGTGGATACTGTCAGAATTTAACCTCATTTTACAAGGGGGTTGGGTCAAACTCCCTATGGTGGCACCGCCAGCGGCTGCACCGCTGTACAACTCCAGCTTCCTGGTTCTGACTACAAGGCTATCTGGCGTTCCGTGGTACAGGCCTTCCAAATCAGTATCCTTCAAACCATGGCGCCAGTTTCAAAGAGAGATGCACAGATCCGCCCCCCCCCCTTTTTTTTAATCGGACGATGTTTGGAAATCCTCAGGATCAAGCAACCCATCTCGGTCAGGAAGTGTGCTGAATCTAGCACCCAGAGAGGGACTTCCTACCGCATCAAGAGATTGGAAACAGGGTCTCTGGGAACCTTGCTCGGAGTGGCAGCATCTCTCTGACTGCTTTAGGTCAGACCCCTCCGCCAGCGCCAGCGCGGAGGCGCCGGGCCCGGAAATTCCCACAGAGCTAAAGCAAACTTCCCGGGAAAACTCCTCGGTTTCCTCTAAGCCCTTGTCACGGAGATGCTGCCAAGAGCGCCAGCTGCTGGGGACCCTCCCAGGCGGGAGCCGCCAGTCGAGCGCCCCGGGTCCTCCTGGAAAGATCCGAGGCTGAAGTTCAAAATTCACGTCCAGCTCGGGCCAGACCCTCGGCCTCGCCAAGGAATCTGGGGCAGCTTCCACTCTCGGGTGCCTGCCCTCCCCCAGCTTCAACTAATGGGGCACCTCCTGCCAGGACATGTAGGCTGGCTGCGGGGAGATCCCGCAGGCGACCCTAGAGCTTCTGGGGAATCTGAGCAGCCGCAGCTGGCGCATGCACACACACACACGCACGCACACACACACACACACAAACACACTCGCGTGAGTGTGTGTTTACGTACCGAACGTGGGGTGGGAAAACAATGGCGAACCGCTGGGACTACGCGACCACCCCCTCCTCATCCCATCAGCTCTCTGCTCAATTTATATCTACCGTGAAAGGGGGGTGGGGGTGAAAGGCGATCCTCCGACACTCCATCGTGGAACGTAGAGGTGGCAAGGGCCAGGGTGGCATGGAGAGAAGACAAGAGCAACAACGGCTGAAAAACGGGAGGCGGCGCCCGGCTGGTCCGCGGGGAATGAACCAGAGCCGTGGGAAGGGCGCGCGCTGGACCCCGGCGGCCCATGCACCCGGGGGCAGGAGCTCCGCGTTACGGGTACCCGAGCCCCACGTGGGGCTCGCTCGCAGGGGGACACCTAAGCTCAAGCTCTGAGTGCTTAAACTGGGCGCGATGGTCAGGCTGGGAAGAAAGACCTAGGGCCGGCGGGTCGCAAAGGGCGGGCGGGTAGAGGACCCCCTGAAGCCCGGCTCGCGTGGCGCGCGCACGCCACCCCCAACGGCCTGCGGCCACTGCCTTCCAAAAGAACACGGGATCAGCGCGGCGCCACCGACCGGCGTTGTGAGGGGTCCGGTAGAATCGGCTCCCCCTGGCAAAACTTTGCCCAAGATGGAAAGTCGCGCGGAAGAGAGCCAGCGTGTCCCTAGGAACGCGGGGACGCGCGTGTCAAACTTCGCGAGGTTGGGGTGAAGGGCGCGCGGCGCGGAGGGGCGCACTTACTAATCGGTCGGGCGCTGGCCCGGGGTCGCAACTCCGCGCTCTGGCTCCTGTTCAGTGCGTCTCGGTGGCCAGCAGCCTGGTCTTCCCGCTCACATGCCCCGGCAACACTGCGAGCAGCGGGCCGGGGCGGCGCGGCCGGGCGGAGGCACGCCCCCCGCCGTGGGCTGGAAGCGCTCGGGACCGGCGGCCCGCTGGGCTCCACTGGCCACCGTCGCGGGCGCCGAGCTGAGGACGGGTCGGGCGGCGCCCTCCGCCGAGCCAGGCCGCTCGGCACTCTGCCCTCTGCCCCCGGCTGGCCGCCGCCGTGCTCCCTTCCGCAGTCCGGCTCCCGGACTCCCGGCCGCTTCGCGGGCCTGGCCGGGAGGCAGTGCGCTCTTCGCCTCCGCGCAGTACCGAGCCCGCTGGGTCCAAAGCCAGGGCCTCCGAAGCTGAGCGCGCCGTTCCGGCCTTCGACCTCTGCCGGCCGCTCCGGAGCTCGGCTCCCAGGAGCCGCGCTCGTACACTTCAGTTCCCAGGCGGGACTGGAGCAGGGCGCTCGCCGCTCGCTTCTGCGAAAGCCACTCCGACAGCCGCCGAGGAGAAAGAGGGAGGGAGGGCGCGAGCGGGCGGGGGAGGAGAGAGGGTGTGGAGATGGAAGAGGGAGGGTGTAGAGATGGAGAGGGAGGGACAGAGCTTCCTCCTCCTTCTCCCAGCTGCTGGTCAAGCCAGGCCTCAACAGCTGGAGACCTGTGCTGAGAAGGGGACAGCAGAGGTTCTCCAAAGTGAGGCCTGTGGAGATGTAGTGACCACTGGGTAGGGAAAATAGGAAGAAGGTAAATTCTGTCCGCTCCCTCGACCCAGGTTCGAGAATTGATACAGGGAATCTTCATTCCTTTTTAACAGGCTCAAAGAAGTTAGTTGTTCAGTTCACAGCCTCCTCCAGACGAGACTCTGGATTGAACTTTATTTTTCTCACTGGTAAATCAGGCTGGCCTCGAACTCACAGAAACCTCCTTGGCTCTGCCTCCACGGTGCTAGGATTGAAGGCATGTTCCACCTGAGCCAGTTTTGGATTGAGTTTTTAAAAAAATTGTACTTGAGAGCTGCCCTAGGAGCTGGGAGTGGCTCATGCCTATAATACCAACACCAGGGAAGCTGAGGCAGAAGGATCTCAATTTGAAATCAGCCTGAGGGGGAGGAGAGACCTGCCATAACCTGTTCTGATCTCTGACAGCTTCCTAATATCTCCGACCACTCCCTAGCCCTATCATTTTCAGCATCTTTCCAACAAGTCCTTCATTTCCTCCTGCCCTGTTTATAGAGGAGGAAGGCGTGTTTGAAGAATGGATTCTCCTCATTCAGTCCATTTATTGAATATCTACAGCAGACCTGACCCAAGCAGATGCCAGGAATCACTAAGATGAATGGCATGGTGGCTGCTCTTCCTGGATTCCCATGTTGTGAAGGACTGGGTCTACTCCAATTCTAGAAAGTATTAGAGGGCTGGAGAGATGGCTCAGCGGTTAAGAACACTGACTGCTCTTCCAGAGGTCCTGAGTTCAATTCCCAGCAACCACATGGTGGCTCACAACATCTGTAATGGAGTCAAATGCCCTCTTCCAATGTGTCTGAAGACATATACATAAAATAAATCTTGAAAGTACTAGGGCCATAGGCTCTATCAAGGGTACTAAGCTATGGAATCGGAGTCTCCTTTAGAGCACAGTTTGAAGAGGGTCTCGGGACATGTGGGAGCAGGGCTGCTTGAAGGAAGGCAAGTTGTGAGACTGTATGACCGTCTTGAGAAGTGGTTAGCCAGGAAGCTTCCACAGGATGAGTGAATTTCATCAGTCCCTGCTTCCCATCAGTCCCTGCTTCCCCGCCTGGATGACAATTTATTTTATAGTCTTCTGTCTTTTGGGTCTCAGTCTGATATCAGTTTCTCAGGAAATCTTTCTTGAGGATTAACTCATGGCCAGGAGCTCCATCCACGGGCTCTGAGAACCCCACATGTCATCTGCCTGTCTAACATGAGATGGTGGGATATGCCTCTTGTTCAGGGTTACATCCCTTGTGTCAAGATGGGACTTGGCAAAGAGCAGGCCTTTAACACATTGTTTTTCAGTTGGCTGATGAAAGAGAAAGGGGTTCTAAGCAGGACTCTGATGAAATCAGTCTAGCTGAGGTATGGAGGTAGGCCAGTGAGGAGCTTCAGAAGGATGAAGGCCTGAGCTTAGGTAGGGCTAGGGGTATGGGAAAGCAGATGGGGAAAGTCAACATTAACTATTGAGGGTATGGTTTTAGGCTGACTGGATAGGATCATTTCAGAAGGCAGTAAAGAGTTATCCAAGTTCCACCCCCTTCCCTCCTCCCAGACAACATGTCTGTGCATCCATACCTTGTGATTTCTCTCTGGCCTCTGGTCAGCTCCAGTGGTACACTTCTCTGTGGGCCCCTCCCTGTCCCTGCCACTAGCTGTAACAGATGAAGACACACAAGGATGGAGTTTGAACTGGGTGTGGAGCTGCTCTCCTTTAACCCCAGCCTCAGGAAGCAGAAGCAGGCAGGTCTCTGCCTGAGTTGGAAATAGTCTGATCTGCATAGTGAGACACTGTCGTCATAAGTTAAGACAAAATAAAAGCCCTACAATCTCTAAAAACAACAGGGAGCTGAGAGATACATGTTCCTGCCATCCCTCCCAGTCACTGCCACCAAATTAAGCTATGAAGTGTCTGCTGCTAACAGTAATGGTACTGTTTCCCCATAAAATGTCTGATGCCACCTTACTGACTGGGTGGCACCAGTATCCTTGACATCATTCTAGACATGGGGAAAAAAATGAAGCTCAAGTTAGAGACAGTAAGTGGAGGGAGGAAACTAATGAAAGATGCTAGGTCGTTCTTATGACCACACCATCAAATATATACCTTTAATATCAAATGTATACCTTGTAATATTCATGCACCCCCACACTCCAGAATATTCTCCAACCTCGAAGCTTATTCTTTCTCAGCCTCCCTTGTTTGTATCCTTCCTCTGCACCGTGTCCAGGTGCCTGTTCTTCTCAGATGTTCTCCCATGCCCCAGTTTCCTGCCTATCTACCTTCTATCCTAAGATGGAAAAAAAAATTATTTTGAGACAAGGGTTCATGTAGCCCAGGTTATTCCCAAACTCTATAGGCTGAACTTGTATTTCTGCTCCCACTTCTGCCTCCCACGTGCTAAGATTTTAAGAGTGCACAGCATGGGAAGGTTTGTGTGGGGCTGGGGGTGGAAACTAGGATCCTCCTGCGTACTAGGGCAGTGCTCTACCAACCGAGCCTCACCACCAGTCCCCCAAGATGAAGTTTTATCAGTTTTCAAAATGTTGAGTACTGTTATGGGGTCCAAATTCAAACACCAGGTTAATCCAGATTACAAAAATGTATTGAAATCAAAGCACTACTGACTTGGAGCTGAACTGTGCCCCTGAGCCACAGTGTTACAGAGCTTTTAAGCCTGAAAAGCTGCAAACATCTGAGTCGAGTTACAGTTAACATTTTTCCACCAATCAGGATTTAGGAATGGGATTTTCTTTCTGTGGTTGGTCTATGCCAACTGATACAGAATGTAGGTTTTACAGTTCAACCAGTTCAGTCCATTTGTTCTTTTGCAGTTAGGACCAATCATAATGTTTGGGGGAGCAAAAGATGAATAATGGAAACTGGTTAGCTATTGGGAAATCCTCAGCTCCCCTAGGGTCTGGGAACTCACTCATTCCTGACATTACTATGTACCAATGACTTACCTAACCTAACCACACCACCTGTGGATTAAACTATTTAGAAGCTCTTGTATGCTAGGCAAGCAGAAGTTGCCCTTACTTAAGCTGTATTCCAAGCCCCCCCCCCTTTTTTTTTTATTTAATTTTGAGACAAAGTCACACTAAGTTATCCAGGCTGGCCGTGAACTCATGACTCTTTTCCCTCATAACCAGAGTAACTAGGATTACTAACTCCTCCTAGGCCAATCACACACACACACACATGCACACACACATATACACAAACACACACACACACTCTACCACTGCCACAGGGCTGTTCTGTTTTTTCTATCCCAACTGTATTCTGGTTATCTAGAGTCACAGAAGTTATGGAATGTCTCTATATATTAAGGGAAATTATTGGAATGACTTACAGGCTTCAGTCAAACTAACATAACAATGGTCAGCTGTGAATGGAAGTCTAAGAATCTAATAGTTGTAGTCTTACCAGGCTGGGTGTTTCAGCTGGTCTTCTGTATAAGCTGGAATCCTGAAGAAGTAGGTTCCAACAGATGTGCTGGCAAGTAAGTGCAAGCAGGCAAAGAAAAATGAACCCTAGATTTCTTTTTATTGTTCTTATACAGGTTCCCGGCAAAAGGCATGGCCCAGATTAAAGGTGTATACCACCACACTTAGATTTGGAACTTTCTGTATCCCAGGCTGGCCTTGAACTCAGATTTGCTTGCCTCTGTCTCCTGGGATTAAAGATATTTACTACCTAGCCTGAGCCTAAGCTTTTCATGGACACTATGCCTCAAGATCTGGATCAAAATTGTGTGTCGTTCCATGTCAAGATCTGGATCACAGGTGTGCCCTCCATTTCTGGATTATAGTTCATTCCAGATGTAGTCAAGTTGACAACCAGGAATAGCCATCATACCAACTAATGGTACCACAGCCCACCCAGTGATTCAAGGCACTATCCTGCCTTCTTCCTATCTAACAGATTTAGTGAGTGGTATTGTTCTTCCTCCAAAAACTTATCCCAGCCCACCCATCTCTCTGTTGTCACCTTCCCATCCTAGCCAGGATAGATCAGCAGTCTCTCTGCTTCTGAGGTCACCTCCAGGATTTTGATATTTGTCCCAGAAGATAACACTTAACACCAGTAAATAACTTCATTATTTGCTTCAATAAGTTTTTGAAAATAATTGACCTGAAATAGACTGTATAAAAAGTCACTTTTTTCAATAATTGCTTTACTAGGAAAACTGACTTATTCTCCCCTTGTAGTGCCTTCTATTCCCCTTCCTTCCTTCCTTCCTCCCTTCCTCCCTCCCTCCTCCCTCCCTCCCTTCCTTCCTTCCTTCCTTCCTTCTCTTTCCTTTCTTTCTCTCTTTCTTTCTTCTTTTTTTCCTTTCTTCCTTCCTTTCTCGCTTTCTTTACTTATTTCTTTATTTTTGAGACAGGATCTCCCTATGGACTCCTGGAGTTTGCTATATAGACTAGGCTGGCCTCAAACTTACAGAGATACTCCTGCCTACACCTCCTGAAAGATGAGATCAAAGGTGTGCACCACTATAACCAGCTCTCTTTGTGTCTTTTAATCCCAACCAGTT